CTAGAGATTCTTGAAGTAATTTTAAGCTTTCCAATTTTTTACAAAAATTTTTGTTTCAGTTTTTTGTATATTAATAAAAAACAAATCAATCGTGAACGTATCAAATTAATATATTGTAGTATATATATTGGTATGTTGAGTACATGATCAATGTAATAATAAATAAATAATAAATAAATTTTAATATTGAAATAAGATATTGAATATTTATTATATTAAATTATATTAAATTATATTATATATTCGATATTATATGTTCGATATAATTTATCAATAAATTTAAATACTTAGTTATTATAGGATGAATAAATTGAATTTATTTATTCTTAAAATAAATAATGTAAATTTATGATATAAAAAGACAAATATAACATTTTTTTAACAATGATCAATAAATAATATCTAATTGAAATGAAACAAAAAAATACATAAAAACAAATAAAAAAACTTAAATTAGAAAATAATTTATTAAATAATTAGATTAGATTATTAATTAGATATTTATGGATTATTTGAAATTAATTAGATTTATAGATTATTAATTAGATTAGATCAATTCACTCACATAAAAAGTTTTTCAACTTTTTTGAAATATAATTATTTACTGTATCGTTTTTTAATATTGATGGTCAAAGTAATTTATAAAAAATTAACATTTAACATGAAATTAATTGAAAGATAAAAACATTACTGAAGAATAATACATACAAAAATAATATAATATATTTGTTGCTCATTGAATTTAATTTTGTTGAAAATTGAATTTAATTTTTTTTAATTTTTCGCATTATTGAATATTTTTTTGAAATTTGAATATTATTTATTATATACTAATTCTATTATTTCTATTTAAATCACTAATTTTTGAGTTTGAACTATGATTTTGAAAATCTAAACGATTCTTTCTATTGTGTATTGAGAATTTTAAAAACTTTTTTCTTTATGTAATGTAAGATTTTTAATAAATTAAAATAAAAGATTATGTTTTTAATGTGTTATTTTCTTTTTTTGAAATTAAGTCATTTGTTGAAAAGAATGCAAATATAATTTATAGTAAAATCTATTGACTAGATAGAGATTTATAAATATTTAGATTAAAATTTATAATTTTTAAAAAAATCTATTTTAAAATTTATCATCTAAGATTATAAATATCTTTTTAAAGAGAATATAAAAATATAATGCTAAGTAAAAGATTATTTTCTAAAGCACAAAAATAAGATTACAACATAAATACAAAAATATATATTTAAATAGAAAATAAATAAATATTGAATCAGGCGATATTTAATCATGCATCATACATATTCTTTTATGATATTTATATAAACTATAAAATAGATGAGATTTTGAATTTATAGATACAATTGAAAGAATAAATTTTTCTGTTGCAACGTGAATTATCATATTTATAATTAACTTAACTATAATTTAATCATTAAAAGAAGAACCAAAAATTTTTGCTTACAATGAGATCTTTCATTATTTATATTATACGTTTTCCTTTGGTTGAAATTAGATTAAAATTAAGACTATATTAAAATATTAAAATATAATTTATATATTAAACTATGCTTAGAGATTAAGAATTTTTTGTTTATATAATTTATATAAATGATATAAAAAAATGTATATATATAAATGTATATATAATACCAGTATATATAGTCATATATTATCATAAGTGCATATCTATATATTACATATTTTTGAATATTATTATACAAAAATTATTTATTATATCTTAAGGAAGTAGTTTTAGTTTTTGAATCAGTAAAAATTTGATAAGAAAAATAATTGTAAAAGTGATTTTGGATACGATTTTCAATTTAAATTATTCTTTTATTTTCTACAATATATAATACTCATCACGAAAAATAAATATCAAATAAATTATTTTTAAGTTTTATGTTCATTTAAATTTATAGAATGCAATTTTTTCAGGATTTATAAATAGAATATTTATTTTAAAAGAAAATTATTTTTTTTAATGCATAAAAAACGATTTTTTTATAAAATGTTTACAAAGTCATTTTTTAATAGAATGCTGTTCCAAAATTTGTTCCAAATGTTAAAGATTATTATATAATATTATATAATTATAATTATTTATATTATATAATATAAAAAACAATTATATATATATTATATAATATAAAAAACAATTAAGTGAGATCAATCGAAATATATCGCGATATATTAAAAGATTGCGCTACACGCTAAGATTGATATCTGATCATATTAATAATATTTTCAAAAGAAATTCCATAATTGGATAAGCAATTTCGAGATTTATAATTTAATAAAACCAAGTAAAACTCGTAATTAAGATACAATAAAAAAAAACAAAATATTATTTATGACTTTGCTTATTTTTCAAAACAATTAAACAGTTTTACTTATCGGGATAAAATCTGCGAAAAAGATCTATGATTATATAAAATTGAATATATTTAAATAAATGACTCTATTTATCGAAAATTTTAGAATTAGATAAATATAGTTAAATAAATTGCAAAAAAAATTCACATTTCCATAATATTTCAAATATAACATAATCTTAAAATTGTTCTATCTATAAAAATCATATTGATTTGATAATAATCTTGGAAATATTTTTTAATATATTCCATATTTGCTATATAGCAGAATTTGATGCAGATTTTAAAATTTTATAGAATAATTAGCTTATAAATAATCATTCTATAAAAAGTTTCATATTCACATTTTCTAAACGTGCATTTTGTAAAAGAAAAGGAATTTTCTAAAAAAAAAAGATCTTATAAAGAACCATTTTGTAAAAAGAGATATTTTTTTAAGCAATTAGATATAATCATTTTCTAAATATTTATATAATAATTTTCTAAATAAAATGAATTTAAATACATAAAATTTAAATATTTTTTTCTAAGAGAAGAGTATCTTCATGATCTATGAAAATATTTTTTCTTTGTCACAAGTATTATATGCAATTCATTAAAAAAATAATTTAACCTTGAAAGTCATGCTCAAGATCAATTTTGTATTTTATTTAATATGTAACTATTAATCCGAAAAACGTACAATTATTTTTCAAAATCGTAACAATAATTTTTTAATACTACAAACAAAATTCAATAATATAATATCAAAAGTTTTTTGCAAATAATTCAAAAATTAAAATTATATATTATATGGAAGAAAATATTTACTTAAAATAATATTTCTTTGCAATATATTTTAGGATCATTAAAATTGAAAAGAGAGCATATAGAGAAGTTTAATCTAGATTTGTTAGATTTTATTTTCGATATTTTTAGCAAAAATGAATCATAGTAAATTTAAATTTAATTACATAAATATAGAACTTACCTCATTTCTAATGGAATTATCTAAATAGCAAATATCTAATTCTCGAAGCAAATGTGCTGTTATTTCTACCTATAAAACTTTAATATTATATATATATATATATACTTGTATGTATATTAACTTTTCGTTTATGATATTACATTCTTACCTCGCGATAAAAATTAGTACAGTGATTATTTATAAGAATAATTTTTGCCGAAAGCAGAGAAATCCATATAATAGTTACTGAAATTTCTTTATCTAAAAATACTTCTGATAAATTTAATGATATTAAATAAAAATATGTATTATAAAGTATACATAGTAATAATGAAAATTGTAAAATTATATCCAATAGAATTTGATAAGTATATGCCTGATTGAGTTCACGTGAAAGTTTAAGAATCTCAAAATGAATATATCTTTAATAAAGAAAAGAAAAAAAGATTAGTAGTTATAAGTAAACAAAATAATAATAATATGATATATATTATATTACTATTTCTATAAATTCAGAAACAATATTATCATTAATATTATCATATAGGAAAAAGAAGTAGCTCCGAACATTTAAATAAAATAAAAGAAAGAAAAATAATCAATAATAAAATTTTAAGAAGAAATTTTTTTTTATCTTAAAAAATATTTAATTTTATAGCTTCTCAGATTTGAGTAGATATTTTATAGAAGTACTTCCTAATTAATTTTATTTAATATTTTTGTTATCAATATATATATATGAATATAAAAAAAATTAATTAAATGTTCAAAAATTTTAGTCAAATATATATATTATAAAAATATATTGAATTATTAATATTAAAATGAATTTAACAATAAACATTGATGAAATTTGATTAAAATTTTTTTGCTCTCGGTAATGTCATTTTCAATGAAAAGAAAATTTCTTTCAAAATTGAATTATTTTAAATATTACAATTGAATGTGATGAATGTGCGTGAACTGATATTATTCGAAGCATTACTTATTGTCCTAGGATTGTACAATCGTTTATATTATGCTTTGAATGATGTTAAAATGGTATTTTACTTTAATTATTTATGGCTAATTGACTGTAATGATTATACTTGTACTTTGAATATGAATTGTATTGCTGCATTCTATTTGATTTGAATTTTATTTTATTTTAATTAATTATTCTGAAAGACTGTCACAGGTTATTTCTCCAATTATTTTCCATGAAAATGCAAACTAAGAGGAAATTAGAGGAACCAATGGATGGAATCGCGTCATAGCGTATCAAAATCTTTACACTTATTTTCATTGCAAGACACTAAGTGCGCAAGCGTGACTTGTGAAATAGTTATTGCTGCTATCTCTGTTTTTAAATTAAAGAACTATATTTATTAATATAAATTATAAATAATGTAAATTATTATTAGACTATTGAAAATACTCGAGCGTTTGATCGCTTCACAAGTTATAACAAAATTGATTATAATAATATTTAATATGTATGTTATTACTAATTTGCAATTGTTTTTAAAGACAGTTAGTCAAGATATTAAAAATGTACGGAGCTATTCACTATTTGCAATTGACCACTTTATATTATATAAAATTACAAAATTCTATATATATTGAGAAATTATTAAACATACCTTGTAATTTGAAGAAGATGTTGAACAAAATGGTTTTTGTTATAATAGTTTTTTATAATTATGTATTTATTTTCAATATGCATCTTATATCTTATATTAATGTCATTTATACTTGAAAGTTGATGTATTTCTTTCATAACATTGTTCATTTTACGCAATTTATCCTGTAAAATACTTAACAAAAATCCAAATAACATCACTCAAAAAAAAAAAAAAAATACTATGAATAATTATAAACTTATCCATATTTTCATTTTCCATAAGAATGAAATAAAGATTTAAAAAAATTTTATGTATTTCTGTAATGTGATACACAAAAAAAAATAATAAAAAAAAAAGAAAGAACAAAAATTTCGCTTTTTATAAATCTGGAAAAAAAAAGAATGTTTTCTTAGAATGGCATTTTAGAATGAGAAAAAAAAATATAAACTCAAAAAAATAAACTCAATTAATTTTAATATCCTTGTATTTAATATTTTTTTTTAATTTTTCTTTATTTTTAATTAGTAAAAATTGCAATTGACTAGTAATTGAATAATTTTATTTGATTCAAATTATCAATCTTTTAAATCGATCAAATATTTCATATTCAATTATATTCACATTGTGGTTTAGAATGCTATTGTTATTATTCCTCGCATCGCATTGTCTTAGAAAAATTATACTCTACTGATCTAGGAAAGAACAGATTCTGAGTTATTTATTATTGAGGATTGATAATTTCTCGTAATAGACATCACTATTGTTAGAACTTGATTGACCATTAATCAATTATAAAATGATAAAAGTTAGATTTTGCCACATTTTATTTACAAGATAGATGCTAATGATCTCTTGGGATGAATAATTGTGTTTGAAATAATAGTGTTCATTCTGCATTAGTTTAAAATTAATTGTTAAAACAAGACTTGCAACTTCATTTTGTATTAATTATAAAAAATATTTTCTGATTTCAGATGCGATTAATATTATTCTGTCTTGAAGCTTTATTATCTTGCTGCTCATTATTTTGCATTCCATTTCTTATCTTCATTCCATTTCAAAGAAGATTTCCTTGCGATTTAAAGAGGATTAAATTTGCTTCTAAATAATAAACTATGATAATATTGATGTGGAATGATGGGATATCAGTAGGTATGATGCCAAATAATTAAATTTTCTAAATCAAATAAAAAATTTAATATAGTCTGATTCAGCGATAAAGATTCTATTTTAAAAGATTCTTAATATATGGTTTAGCTATAATAAGATCTAAGATAAGTAAAAATTTTTCAAGTGTCACAAAAATGTGGCCATAAGATAAAGAAACTATTGAATTTTTTCCAAACTATTCAAGGATATACGTATGTTGATGAATTTATAACACAGTTTTTATTCTTATTTTAATATGATTCAATCTATATTATTAATTCGTTCTCAGTTCGTTCATGTTTCACTCAGTTTTATTCAGTCTCTTGATTTATTAATTTATTTATATTTTATTATTAATTTATATTTTATGAATTTTTAGTGGTAATAAAATTTAATGCAATAAAATTTTACTATATTTTTTAATTATCATTTAAATTCAAAGATTTTCTTATTTTCTTAAATTTTTCTTTTATAAGTTTTTTATTTTATATTATATAATGATAATTATTTAAATTATTAATTATTATAAAATTATACATTCAATAATAATGCAAATGATATAATGATAATTATACAAGTAATCATTGACTTTTATTAACGAACATTTTGTTTAAAAATAAAAAAAAATATCACAT